TAATTATTGATACATAGTTATTCTAGAAATGGTTGATTCTCACACTGTATCTAACAGTGGTACTAATTATCTCAGAAATATAAAGAATCAATAATACAGGAGACGTTTTAATCACTGCATACAAATAATCTCTTCTCTGATACCAAAAGTCACTCTATCTATCTCTAGAGGAATATAATGGTAAAAGCTTAGGTTAAAATGTTGCTCCTTCTGCCTATTTGCTGTGTGTCCTAGATGAGTTAACTAACCTTTCTGAGCTGGATTACTATTATTCCTTAAAATGAAAATAAAAGTACTCATTACAAAGGGATGTTGTGAAGATAAAATGAGATAAGCTGTGAGCCCATTATGTGGTCTGGCATAAGGAAAATTGTCAAAAATGTTCATTTCCCTTAAAATCTTTTGGCAAGCTTATTTAATGTAAAGGTATAAAAAGGCAAAATAAATTAACACTGGTTTAAATATAAAAACGTGTAATTTAAACATTGAATAAGCAGCAATTAAAGCACATGTTCACTTGCCACCTTGTCCAGGGCTGGTTTGGAATCATCTTATTCACTCCAAGTAATGAGCAATGCAGCTTGACCGCCTGGAAAGCAATTCGGCAGTGGGGTCCTGCCTCTCTGAATCTCGCAAGAGCTTTCACCTGTTTTCATCCCAAGTCTGTCTGTCTTTCTGAGCGAGAACTGAGAGTGTATTGTTCAACAGCCCCCTTTCAAGTGCTGCCAGGAATGAGATCCTGGAGGTGCCCTCTATTGTGAGGTCTTGAAGTAGATCTTGAATGGAGAGAATGTGCTTTCAAAATAATTTATTATGAATGCATTTTCACTTTGGTGGGGAGAGGAGGCACAGATGGCTGAATCAGGACACGTGCCAGTTCTTATCCTCACACCAGGCATCCAGTGAATGCAGGCTGTGGGAAAATGAGCTTTAGGGGAAGGACAAAGGCTAAAAAAACCCAGAAAGTGCTTGCATGATGTGGTCCCTGGTCCACCATTAAAAACAGCTGTTTGGGGGAAGTCAGGAGGCTTTGCTAAGAGATTAGGCTGGCTTCTGAAATATTTACTGCTTTGCAGACCCTGAACAATAGAGATAATTGATCTCTATTAGTGCCTTCAGGAACTGTTCTATTGGAGAGAGTGGCTTGGATGGGAACAACAAGTGGCTGGGAGACCGGATCCCTACCCCTCAGCAGGAAGCTTGCCAGGATGTAGGTTTCCCAGCCTCACCTGCCATCCTCCTCCAGCTCTGCCAAGCTGTTGAGTTCCTGGCTGGATGCCACTCCCTGAAGCTGTCAGGAAAGTTGTTACACATATCCTGATCCTCTGATTTGCGGATCCCAAAGCAGCAGCTTCTTTGCTTCCCACTGCTTCATTTACTCATTCCCAAACACTGCTGCACTCCAGCCAGTTACTGAAGTTCTTTCAGGTTTCAGGGAGCAGACAAGCTTGGGTTGTCTAAGGTTATGGGAGTTATTGTGGTGATATATGAGCAGGAGAGAAGACAGAAAGCCTTTCAGTAGCCAAACAGTCAGCCTCAAGGAACAGAGCAGATGTTTCTCACTCAACGGGAGCTCTCCATGCCTGGGTGAGTTTGCTAGGGCTGTTTTATCCATGTATCATAAACTGGGGATGTAGCAGACATTTATTGTCTCTCAGTTCTGCAGGCTAGAAGTGTGAGATCAAAGTGTCAATAGGGTTGCTTCCTTCTGAGGATTGTGAAAGAGAATTTGTTCCGTGGCCCTCCCCTAGCTTCTGGTACATTGCTGGCAATTTGGGAGGTTCCTTGGCTTATAGACGCATCACCCCAATCTTTGCCTTTATCTTAATGGGACATTTTTCCTGTGAGCACTCTGCCTCCAATTTCCCCCTTTTTATAAGAACACCCATCACACTGACTGTTGGACACTGTTACTGGTTGCATTTTGCCACTTCCGAATCTATATGTTGAAGTTCTGAACCCCACTACTTTGCAATGTGGCCTTATTTGGCTGCAGGCTCTTTGCAAAGGTAACCAAGTTTAAATCCACTTTTATTCTTGTCCCCTGAGACTCAGTCATCGCCCTGAATAAGCGTATCCTTCCTCAGTCTCTCCAAGGGTTGTAGCTTTCCCACTACTGAGTGTCTTCTGTTTCCATTCTTCTCTGTGACTTGTGGTTTCTACTGTTTTATGGCCTCCACATATTGAAATTTCTCTGTGTGCCTTTGGCTTCCGTGTCACTCTCTTGATTTCTGACTCATGGAAGTACTGAAGCTCCTTGAGAATGTCATGGGTTTAGTCGCTTCCTGTACAGCATAGAGGATTTCTCCTAGCAAGGCTGTCCTGTTGGGCCACTCCCGAGGCCTGCTGGGCTTTGGCAGGTGGCTTGGCTCAGGCACCAGCCTCTTGACCGATCAGCCTTGGCCATGATAGTGAGTCTCACAGGACACGGCATGGTGACCTTGGCATAAATAATTTCCCATGGCTTTTTTTCTCAGAAGGAGGCTATGGACATGTGGACGTGCTCAGCTTTCAAAGTGGCTATGTGACTGGTACTGCAAAGGCCTGGAGTTCAGAGGAAAAGCTGTAGTTCCTTCCTTGTACAATTTTTGCTGAGGTGTGGTCGATGCTTGGCCCATGTACTGCAGGACTCCCTAGCCTGATCTCATTTCATGATTTTCCTGACTTTGAGAAGCTCCTCACAGAGCCGCCATGATTTTTTGTCTACTGGTATATTTAAAAATTAAAAAATGACTCAAGTGGGTTACAGTTATGGCAATATAAATGTTTACATATAATTGCTTTTAACTCCTTTGGCTATTCATAAGAGAATCACAGTATTTATGAAACTATTACTCACGTGCAGTTCAGTAAGGAGACACAAGCTTACAGGGTTGTGGGATGACAGTCTTTATTCTGCCTGCCAGCGTATATTGTGGCCATATGTGTAAGTTTATTTGGGGATACAATTAAATGGCTTAAGTTCAGGGCCTTTGTGAATGAGACTCCAAACCAAACAGTGGACCTGTCTACTTCAGATGGGCTCCCCTTTCATTCCTTGAAAGGATTGGAGGCCAAAGGTACAGGCTCTTAAAGGATTTCATTAAACTTACATGATTCCGTATAGGTTCTTATTTCAAAACCCAGTTAAATTACATAAGTCAGGTGGCCTACATTCCTCTAAAAATGCCCTTTGACTTGATAGAAACCATTAAGCAGCATTCTGTGCCTAGCACTGTGCTAGGGCTCCCCAGAGAACACGGAACTCATCAAGGTGTCGGGCATTACGTCTACCAAGTTCCCAGTTGGTACTGCTTGGTCACAATCATCTTGTGCTGTATGAGTCTTTTTTCTCAGCTATGGGTTGGAGGCATTTGAGTAGTACTGCCCACAGCCCTCTTCCCTGTGTTCTGATTCTAGAATTCCCCCTCAGCTTGTGGCTTTTACAGTTTCCACATGCCTTTCAATAATGCCAGCTGCTTTCCCTCCTGCTGCTCTGCCGGTCTTGCCTGAGGTGCATGTGGCTTCCACTAAGCGTGAAGGCTTTTTAAGAAACCTTTACTTCTATCACGTACTATTCAGTGTTTTCAATTTCACAGCCCCATCACTGTTTGGGAAACAAATGATTTATGGGGAGTTTCCAGAGAATTGATTTCTTGAGATCTGGGTGATCCTTGGCAATGGGATAGGGTTTTGCTGCCTAGTGACTACAGGGTAAAAACAGAAGGAAACAAATGGAAGGGCCTGACTTGAGAGAAGTTTTATTTATCTGGCTTTGACTGATCAAATAAAATCAGTGAAATTTAGTTATTTTATTTTTGGAAAACTTGGAATTCACCTAGATACTCCTGGTTGAAGAAAATGATGTTTTATTTGTTTTTGGAACAGTCATCTTTCTATGACAGGGAAAATTTGAAGTTGAAGAGCTTCATCTTTCATCATCTTTGTACTAAAGGATTGGATTTTCTTCTATTTTTAAAAAAACGAGTTATTTCTGCAAATTCTAGAAATTTAAGATGGACAATTTAAAAAAATTATGATTGACATAATTGTACATATTTACAGGGTACAGCATGTTTCAATAGATGAAACATGTGAACTGATTACGTTGGGGTCATTAGCATATCTGTCACCTCACACATTAATCACGTCTTTGAGATGAGAACACTCATAAACCCCTCTTCTGGCTATTTTAAAATATACAATATGTCATTGTTTAGTCATCCTGCTTTGCAATAGACCACCAGAACGCATTCCTCCTATCTCACTGCAGTCTTGTATCCACTGGCCAATCTCCCACCATCTCCTCACTTGCCACTCTCCATCCTCTGGAAACCATGATTCTACTCTCTATTTCTATAAGAACAACATTTTAGATGCCACATATGAGCGAGATCATGAGAAATTTTTCTTTCTGTGTCTAGTTATTTCACTTAACATGAAGTCCTCCAGGTTCATCCATGTTGCCACAAATGACAAGATTTTATTATTATTTTTTATATAGCTGAATGGTATTTCATTGTGTATATACACACTATTATTTTCTTTATCAGTTCATGTGCTGATACTTAGGTTGATACTTAGCTAAGATATGGATCTTAGCTCCTGTGAATAGTGCTGCAATGAACATGAGAGTGCACATATGTCTTCTACATACTGATTTCATTTCCTTTGGATATATACCCAGAAGTGGGATTGCTGAATCATATGGTAGTTCTATTTTTAACTTTTTGAGGAACCTCCATATTGGTTTCCATAATGGCTGTGCTAATTTGCATTCTCACCAGCAGTGTGCAAGGGTTCCCATTCCTCCACATCTTTGTCAACACTTATCTTTTGATTTTTTTTTTTTGATAGCCACTCTGACTGGAGTGAGGTTATGTTTCATTGCAGTTTTGATTTGCATTTCCCTGACGAATGATTTTGAGCACCTGTTCATATAGCACCTGGTGCCTTATTTTGTCCGTTTGGTGAAGTCGTGTTTCCATGAATATTATTATTGATGCTTGTGACATGTGATGAGTCTGTGTATGGAAGGACTAGGTATTTACTCCAGTCTGCACAGACTGGCTTTGTCCCCATCCTTTCCGGAGTCTATAAGCCATTACCGTCTCTTGGCCTTGGGTCACTGCCGCTGTTTCAGCACTAGATGGCACCTTAAGCCCAGGTTTGCCGCAAGTCCATGGTTTGTGTATTGCCACATTTTCAACACTAGAAGGCGTCCTGAGCCCAGGTGTGCCTAAGACCTAGTTTCTGAAGGACCCAGAAAGCTTCGGGAAGTTTCCGCCTCGGGCTTGAGCGGGGCCAGAAGCTGTATTTCGACGTTGTAGGGTCTACATAGCTCTGGGCTTTACTGTGGTGGGTCCAGCACTGGGCTCTAAGGCAACGTTCTGTGATGCTGCCTCTCTCTGTGCCGGTGGCCTGGGGCTGGGGGAGGCCACCACCACTGCCCGATACTGGCTCGCACCCGGAGTCCGCAGCCTCCGAGACCAGCCCGGCACAGGGCTACTCCCAGGCCCATGCGGCTGCGGCCTGCCTGCCACCAAGGCAGCTGGCCCGAGGCGGCCCAGAGCCCCAGGCTGCCCCACCGGGCCACGGGCCCCGCCAGAGACTCAGTCCGCAGGCTCCGGCCTGTGGTCTTCCGGTTCTGCCACACGGAGGAAACCAGCCAGTGTCGCGTTTCACGGTGGCTCGTGCAGGCCAGTGCTGAGTTCCAAGGCAAAGTCCTGCCCTGAGCTCCCCTTCCCCAGAGAACTCCGCTGGAAGGTACCTTCACAAGCGCTAAGGAAACCAGGTAAGAGATCTTGGTGCCTCGTTTTAGCACATTAATAGGAAAAGACACGGACCGAGTCGCTCTCTGCACTGTGCTGCCCAGGTTTGTGTTTGTATTTTAACTTGATATTGACATCCTCCCTGCGACAGAAGAGTACAGGAAACGATGCAGGTGCAAGGCACTTACAGTCCGCGGAAAAGGGTGTGAAGGGACCGCCTGAAGGAACCACGCAGACATCCTTTGAGTCTGTCTCTGGGCCTTTGTGGCCTGCTGTCTCTATGTTGCTTGGGCTTCTGCTTCATCCCCTTCTTCCTGCAGACCATCTCCCCTTGCTCTCTCAGTGCAGAGGGAGAAAGGTGGCTGTCCTTCAGCTTAGGTGTTCTACACGGAATGATCAGAGCTTTGGTATCAACTCCTAAGAGAGAAAATCTGATTTGCCTTCTTGGGTCAGGTGGCTGGGTGTTCCTGGGAAAATCTCAGAGAAGGGGAATTGTGGATCCGTGTCTCCCTACCAAGGCATCTGTGTCGTGGGTTTAGTGCTCTGCAGTTCACAGAGTGCTTCCCCAAACATGAATAATGCTCATTTCACTACAAGCTTGAGAGTGGATGTTACTAGTGCCCTCGTTGTACATAGGAGGAAACTGAGGGTTACAGGGATTAGAGAGAGTATTAGATTTTTAGGGCTGCAGTAACAAAGTGCCATAAACAGAGTGGCTGAAAACAAAAAAACATTGTCAGTTCCAGAAGTCCTATATCGAAATATCAATAGAGTAGCCTCCTTTTAGGTTCTCTGAGGGCAAATCTGTTCCAGGACCCTCTCTTCCAGGCCCCTCTCCTGGCTTCTGCTGATGGCCGGTCGACCTTGGCATTTCCTGGCTTGTAGCTGCGTCACCCCAATCTTGCCTCTGTCTCTATGTGGTGTGCTTCCTTTATGTGTCTGCGTCCAGATTTGCCTCATCTTATAAGGATACTAGTCATTTTGGATTAAGGGCCCACCCTAGCCTAGTAAGACTTCATAACTTACCTAACTGCATCTACAAAGATCCCATTTCCAGATAATGTTTTCACATTCTGAGGAACTATGAGTGAGGACTTTAACTTGTCTTTCTGGGGGAAGACAATTCAATACGTAACAGATAGTTTGCTTGAACTTTGGACTCAAACTTAGAACTTCTGAGTTTTTAAAGGGAATCATTCTTTTCCTGGTCGACTAGGCAATATTAAAGCAGAAAACTACCATGGCTAATTAGCTATCTTCTATTTGTCGTTGAATCAAGCAGTTATTCAAAATAAACAAAGCCACTGGCTGCTTTATCATTTACATACTTAATCGTGTAGGGTGTGAGGGCAGGAGTTCGGAAAGAAAAAGTTTTTGGTCAAAGAGATAGCTGTTCTGTCTTTCGTAAGGAAAATAAAATGATAAAAGAGTAAAAGTAAACCTTTATATGAGGTTAATACAACAAATATATTGGATAGTGTTGCTGAATGGTTTCTATGAAGTGCTTGGATAATTTAAGCTTATTACAGTTTTCCTTGGCCTACCCATAGGCTAAATACTGAATGCTTAAAAAGAAAATAAATCCTCTAATTATTAGCACAGGTCAAAGGGGAAAAAAATGCAAGTGACACTAGTTGCTGAGTTCTTTCTTCTCCTGCAGTTGGTCCTAGAATAGAAATCGTTATTTTTCTACAATGGGCCATGGCAAGAGTGACCATACAATTTATCCAAATTGGGAGGCTTTAGAAAATGAAAGAGGTGATAAAAATCATTAAAATTATATTCTTCAAAAATATTTACTGACATCAGTGTTTTATTTTGTTGGTGAATTTATATAACTGAGCCATTCAAAAGCTATTTAAAAAATAAATAACATATCTGTGAATTGTAAAGCAAAATAAAAAAACAATATTCAAATATCTGAATTTTTAAACACAATACAAGCAGTACATTTCTTCCTGGTACATATTCATATATGTTTATCAATTTCTTAGCTATGTTTTTCTCTAATACTGTGTTACTGGAATTTTTCTGAAGAATTAAAAACAATATAGTCTTATTTTTAAGATTATTGTAAACAATTGCCTTTCATCTTCTTTAAAGTTTTGTCTTAGGGTGATAAGTTGGCAATTATTGCTTTTCTCAATTGATCTTCTTGGTAGAGTATAACATTTTCCATCAATAAAATAAAATAATTTTTGTACAGATGCTAAAGTACTTGGTGAAACAATAGCAAATTCAACTAAATAGTATACATTTTCACTGCTTTTTCGGTATTTAAATATGTGGAAGGTTTAGCTTAAACATTTTGATTTTTGTAGACACTTTTGCTAGTATTTTGCTGTGAATTTTTACATCTATGTTTATCAATGATATTGGCCTGTAGTTTTCTTTTCTGTTATGTCTTTCTCTGGTTTCATTATTAGGTTAGTACTGGCCCTATTCTTCAAACTTGCGTAGTTTAAATAGAATTGGTATTAGTTCTCCTTTAATGTTTTGTAGAATTTAATAGTAAAGCCATAACGTCCTGAACTTTTCTTTAATTGGAGACGCTTTGATTCCATTAGTTGTTATTGGTTTGTTGAGATTTTCTATTTCTTCCTGGTTCAATCTTGGTAGGTTGTTGTGTCCAGGAGTTTATCCATTTCCTCTAGTAGGGGATCCTTCCAGATTCATTTTATGAGGCCAGTACTAACCAAATAATGAAACCAGACAAAGATATAACAAAAAGCAAACTATAGGACAGTATCACTGATGAACTTAGATGTAAAAATTCTCAGCAAAATACTAGCAAACCAAAATCAATAGCACATTAAGAAGACCATTCACCATGATCAAGTGGGATTCATCCCAGAGATGCAAGAATGGTTCAATGTCTACAAATCTATAAACATGGTAAATCACATTAACAGAATCAAGAACATAAACTGCATTCAATAAAAGTCAACATCCTTTATGATAAAACCTTTATCAAAATGGACATAGAAGGAACATACCTCAAAATCATGAAGTATATATGACAAAGCTATAGCTAACATTGAACCTTACAGGAAAAAATTGAAGGGCTTTTCTCTAAGGACTGGAACAAGACAAAGATGCCCACATTCACAACTGTTATTTGACAAAATACTGGAAGATCTGGCCAGAGCAATAATCAAGAGAAAGAAATAAAGGCCATCCAAGTTGGAAATGAAGAAATCAAATTAGCCTTTTTTACAGACAACATGATCTCATAGTTGGAAAAATACAGACTCACCAAAAAACTATTAGAACTGATAAATTTAGTAAAATTGTAGAATACACAATCAACATACAAAAATTAGTAGCATTTATATATGCCAATAACAATCTGAAAAAAATAGAGAATGCAATCCCATTTACAATAGCTACAAAGAATATGAAATACCTGAAAATCAATAAAACTAAATAAGTGAAAGATCTATACAAGGAAAACTATAAAATTCTAATAAAAGGAATTGAAAGAAAGAAATTGAAGGGGACACAAAAACTGGAAAGATAGTCAATGTTCAGGGATTGGAAGACTTAATAGTGTTAAAAGGCCAAAATTAACCAAGGCAATTTAGAGATTCAGTGCAATCCCTATCAAAATACCAATGGCATTCTTTACAAAAATAGAAAAAAATCCTAAAATTTATGTAAAACCACAAAAAAATCCCAAATTGCTAAAGTAATCCTGAGCAAAAAGAACAAAGCTGGATGTATTACACTACTGACTCAAAAATTTACTGCAAAGCTATAATAAGCAAAACAGCATGACATTGGCATAAAAACAGATGCATATTCCAGTGGAACATGATAGAGAACCCAGAAATAAATCCTTGCACTTGTAGCCAATTTATCCTCAACAGTGGTGCTGAGAACATACAATGGGAGAAGTCAGTCATTTCAATAAATGGGAAAACTGGATAACTATATGCAGAGGAATGAAACTAGACCTTTATCTCTCACAACAATCAAATCAAAATGAATTAAAGACTTAAATCTAATACCTAAATGTGTGAAACTAGTAGAAGGAAACTTTGGGAAGCACTTTAGGACACTAGTCTAGGCAAAGACTTCTATTTTCTCTAAGACAGAACTCAAAGGCACAGGCAACCAAAGCAAAAATAGACAAATGGGGTTATGACAAGCTAAAAATCTTCTGTAAAGCAAAGGAAACAATCAACAAAGTGAAAAGACAACCCATAGAACGAGAGAAAATATTTGCAAACTGTCCGTCTGACAAGGAATTAATAACCAGAATAAATAAGGACCTCAAACAACTTAGTGGCAAAAGAGCAAATAATCTGATTAAAAAATGGGCAAAAGATTTGAAGAGACATTTCTCAGAAGAAGCCATACAAATGGCCAACAGGTTAACAACAACAACAACAACAACAACAACAAATACTCAATGTAACTGCACATCAGATAAATGCAAATCAATACCATAATGAAATATCATCTCACCCCAGTTAAGACAGGGAATAATAAGTGCTGGTGAGGATATGCAGAAAGGGAACACTCACATACTGTTGGTGGGAATGTAAAATAGTACAGCCATTATGGAGGACAGCATGGAGATTCCTAAAAAAAACTGAATATAGAACTACCATGTGATCCAGCAATCTCACTACTAGGTATATACTAAAAGAAAGAAAATTAATATATCAAAGAGACATCTGCACTCCCATGTTTGTTGTGGTACTATTTATAATAGTCAGCATATGGAATCAACCTAAGTGCCCAACAATGAGTAAATGGATAAAGAAAATGTGGTGTATACACACAACAGAATGTTACTGAGTCATGAATGAGATCCTCTTATTTTCAGCAACATGGATTAAACTAGAAGTCATTATATTAAATGCAATAAACCAAGCACAGAAAAACAAGTATCACATGATCTGTTTGGGAGGTAAAAAAGTGGACCTCATGAAGATAGAGAGTAGAATGGTAGTTACCACAGGCGCTAGGCAAGATGGGTGGGAGAGGAAGAGAAATGGAAAAGGAAAGAATATAA